TACTACAAACGGTGTTCATTAAAAACATACATCTTGCTTATTGTTTCTGTACACCATTCAGTATATCATTAAAAACTGTATGCCTAGCTTATTGCCTTTGTACACTAAGTAACACTGGCATTAAAAGCTGTATGTCTTGTTTATTATGTCTGTACACCAAGTAGTGTGGCAAAAAAGCACACATCTAGGTAGTGTGTACACAGTCATTACAACCATACATTTAGCTTATTGATTGTCAAATTGTAACACTGGCATTAAAAGCTGTAGTGTGTAATTACACCAAGTACATACATTTAGCTTATGTGTTATTACAATACATACATTTAGCTTATTGTCAAATTGTACACCAGGTAGTGTGTAATTACAATACATACATTTAGCTTATTGTCAAATCGTACACCAGGTAGTGTGGCAAATTGTACACCAGGTAGTGTGTAATTACAATACATACATTTAGCTTATTGTCAAATTGTACACCAGGTAGTGTGTAATTACAATACATACATTTAGCTTATTGTCAAATTGTACACCAGGTAGTGTGTAATTACAATACATACATTTAGCTTATTGTCAAATTGTACACCAGGTAGTGTGTAATTACAATACATACATTTAGCTTATTGTCAAATTGTACACCAGGTAGTTTGTAATTAAAAACCATATGTTTAGATTATTGTCTTTGTACAACAAGTAGTGTGTCATTGAAATGCATACATTAAGCTTATTTTCAAATCGTTCATCAGGTAGAGTGTCATTAAAATACATATGTCTAGCTTATTGTCAAATCGTTCATCAGGTAGAGTGTCATTAAAAACCATATCTCTGAACACACCTCATCATATTGAGATTGTCATAGTTAAAGGGTCAAAAAGCACATTTGATCTATTGGAAAATCATCAAGTTATGCTACTTATTTACATGGGAACCAGGACATTTCTAGTTTACTGAACAGAAATATAAACTTAAGTTGGCTTATTACAGTGCATGGGCTTAATGTGATATCATTACTGTAGTTCTTGACAAGTGCTATTGACAATAGCAATAAATTTGCAAAACCTAAATGTGCCTTCAGCACCTCTATACATAGGGAAGAAATGTAAAGCAAAACCATATATTGTCTGCTAAATCTGTGTGGAAGGGGAGGAAATATGTAGCAAAACTAGAGGTTGTCTTCAAAATCTCTGTGCAAGATGAGGAAATAAAAAGCAAAACCAGGTATGTAGATATGCAAAGGTTTGTTAATCGCAACAATAAGCTCCATCAGAAATGTTACTGTGTACAAAATCAAAGAAAAAGGAAATAGCATTTCAATGGGAGTAGGGTATTTGACTAGACTTAGAATGAAAAAAAAGCATGCAACATAACCTTAAACTACAAGTAGCTAACCGTGAGAGAATAGGCACACAGTGAAAGTTGTTTTCTTTAAAACTTCTATAAAATGCCTTATATGCAAATTAATTATTCAGGATTACTTTCTTAGGCTGTTTAAGGTAGTGCACCAATTTTAGTAAGTAACGAGTGTGACAGTAAGGTTTAGGAAAGATGCAGAAAAGCTGAATCCCTAACAGAAAAAGGCAGGTAGAAAGTACTAAATCAAATGTTGTAACTTGTCTAGTGTATTAAACTCTCCCGAGATCTTGATTGTATACAACAACCTGTTAACGCCCCCAAGTGTAAATTCAGTAGCAGCAGCATTGATCAGTGTGACAAAGTGGATTGCTCATTTTACAAAACACACTGGAGACAACTTACCATTCTATAAAAGGTCAGAGGTTAAAGGTCATACATATCTTTCTGTTTTGGCCATAGACAATATCATCTTTACGGTCACTTTGTTTCTATTCTGTTGAGTTGTTGTGACGAGAATGAATTTAAATATGAGTGTATATCTGTTTTTTACACTGAATCTGAATTTAGTAATGCTATCGTATTACTGTTCTAACCCAAATTAAAAATGATGTTAAATATGACAGAGGGAAGCTTCCAGAAATTTCCACAAGAATCAATTGCTGCAACTTAACATTGAACTAATGATAAATCTAGGTATCTCTGTGATCTCTGATCTGAACACCAATGATCTTTCTATGATCTCCAATATGATCATCACAATATCTATATAATCTCTGGTCTGAACGCTAATTATCTTTCTGGGATCTCCAATATGATCGTCAAGATATTTTATAATCTCTTGTCTTAACACAAAGATCTATTTATGATTTCTGAGTTCCCTACTTATTTTCATTCAAATCATAGGTAAGAAAGAAAATCCTCTGCCCAAACATTGGAAATCTCACAGCCACATCCATTATTACCTGAAAAGGCAATAAATTGCAGCAGGAGCACAATATGTTCTCTGCAGTGTTTTTGATCTCTGTTCACCAAAAAAGCATTCAGAACCAGTAGACACCATGTGATGAGGGAACTACTTTTGTTGTTTGTGAAAAATACTAGTTTTATGCAGAGATGACAAACACCCTTTAAGAAGGTTACCTCTATACACTATTGATACGGTTGAGGTTTGGAAAGAGAGGAGATGGGTGATTGATCAAGAAAATTGTAAAGAGCATCACTTAAACATTTATGTCATCAATTCAGATTAAGAATTGCAGGTTAAAATCGCATTGTGATATTCATCAAATCACAGCATTTTCCTTTCCATTCAGTTTTTCAATATCTCTTTGCTTTTTCAATTTGTACACTATTTAGTTAAGTTATTCAAAATATTTTACAATCTCTGTCATGATTGTCATAATCATTTTTCAACGGTTTTAGGCTACATGAGACAAAGTCTCATGATAACCTATTACAATCCTGATCCCCTTATGTCCATTGTGTCTGTTAAAGACCTGATTCTGAAACCAGGGGTCTGAGGGGCAGGACCAAAAAGGTGTGAAATTGTTGAAATTTCAAAAACCTTCTCATGTATGGTAAAACCAAACATTCTTCATTGGAAGGGGTAAAGTTTACTTTATATAAGTTAAATTTTTGAGCTGATGGGCAAGGCAGGAAAGGGGTCAAATTGACTAAAATTTGAAAAGTCTTCTTCTCAATACCCAAATATGGTAGAATATCATGGCCAAGGGTTTCACATTTCCCTCAGGATTGGTGGTAAATTGTACTAATGTTTATATAAAAAAGTGCCGTTTTTAGCATAATGTATTGTTTTTTCCTTTGAAATAATTTAAGCTTTGTTACAATCATTAGTATAGGATGAAAGTTTGATTGTATACACATATAAATCTTTGCTATACCCCAGAGACTGATGGGCAGGACAAAAATTGGTCAGATTCATTCAAATTTGAAAAACCTTTACAATACCTAGATATGATAGATTCTCTTAAATACTCTTCATAGATGGTAGAGAGTATATAAGAAAGATACTTTTTGTAATGTAATTTCTTTTAATTCAAACATAGTTAGAAGCCATGAGACAGCATCCTCTTAGAGCTTAAGATTACAGCTCTAATAAAACTCCAGAAAGTTTCTACAGTCTCGTTTTTATTATTTTTTCTCCATACATGAAAGTCAAGATTATGATGTTTTAACTGATAAAATGAATTTGTGGGAAATTACTGTGTAGTCAGTGTGTACCAAAAATATCAGCCATGGACGAAGGCAATATGATAGCAGAAATTTTTTATCCTTATTATAGATGACTAAATAGATTTAAAATATAGTCTGTGGTCATGGTGATGAAACTTTAAATGTTCGGGACAAAAGTCAGTTTGTCTTGGAAGAGGCCTCAGATGCTCCAGATAGATTGAAACCTGACTCTACAGTCATGTCGCCTCTTCATTTTTGGGGTTTCAAAGTCCTGTCTTGAAGATAATATTGTTCATATAATGCATTTCAAAGTTGTTTGAAAGACTACAGATATCATTGACATTCAACATAATGATTTTATCTAAAAATTTGTCTCAGAGATGCTTGAAGGGCTTGAGTTACCAAATGTTCTGTAAAAACTATTAATGATTTTAAGTTAAAAATTCAGTGTCGTGAAATATTGTACCAGTAATGTTTGTTAACTATCTATTAGTTTAGGTATTTTAGGATGTCAATTTGACTGAAAATTAAACTTGCTTATTTTCCATTTTTTATGCTAAAAAAATTGAAGTAAAAATGTGTAATTAAAAGCAATAAATAAAACAAATTGTTGAGTGTATTACTTAGTTTACAGAATACAGCTGAGACTTTATTTATCAACATTTTGTGGCAAATGTAGAGATGCACTTAGTACATATACAAATACCCACACCCCCAACCCCCCAACCCTAACCCCCCACAACCAACAAAAAGTAGGGAAGTATATTGTGGAGCACATCAATCACCTGTTTTATCATTAAGATGGAAGTATCAGTGACACCAATCTCCTGCCAGGTCAATCTACTTTCTGATGGCTGGATTAGTTTTCAAAGTAACTGGCCTCTGATGATAGTGATAGAGTTTATGACAAACATATGTCCCAGCCTTCTCCCCTGTCAAGTTCTGGGTTCACAGAGAGGGTGTCATATAGCCAAGACAAGGGCACAACAGGTCTACATAGGCAGATCAGTTTCAGCAGCAGGCCAAGTCACCATGGCAATAAGATTGTCAAAGCAGGGAGGGACAATTCTGTAGATATATATATGCTAGGGAAAGAGAGCTGGTTATAACATGTCTCTCTGTAGGGCCAAATCTCCATGGTGATGTGATTGTCAAAGCAGGGAGGGACAGTGTTACATATAAGTGTGTTGTGTTGGGGGAGGGGATAATAAATTAAGGACCAAGTCACCATGGTGATGGGATTTGTCAAGGCAGGGAGGGACAGTTCTATAAAATTAGAAAGGAGAGCAGTGTAGAGCAAAGCTCTGTGGGTGTCCCCCCCCTCCTGGCCACATGATAATTAGGAACTTCCCCCTCTCAGGTTTTGGGACCATCAAGATAAACAGCCTCTCCACAGGGCCTGTGTGTGAGTAGCTGGCCAGTCATCTGGTCCTCCTAGTCTTAGGGTACATCACATATGTTATAGATGTGACGATATATACATACAGACCTGCCTTTCTCTATAGTTACCTTACAGAACACAGAACAAGTACCACTATATTCTTAACAAAGGGATTTACTTCTTGAAGATTCAGGTAATTATTTTGTCATCAGAATATATTGGGAGACAAAATGTCTTTCATTTTGTCATCAAAAATTGCTGTCTACTATTAGAATCAAGACAAAAAGTCAGATTGTTAGAATGAAGCCTTGATAGTTCTGTTGAGTTGTTGGGTTTACAAAATGATGAAACATATGGTTTCAAATCTATAAACCATTGAACTTTACAGATGGATTATCAAATACTGATTGCTACATTTTCTTTCCAAACTTTTTTCTTTTATAATTTGAGTACTGCAGTTGTTTTGGTTTTCAGAATTGAACAAAAAATTGTTTATATCTTTTTTACTTAGGATCTGACCTAAACCAATCTAAAGTTTTGACTCCTTAAACTGCATGCAATATTTCATTATTGAAAAAAGATCTGTTGTCATGCCCGTGACAATAATTTATTTTTGTCATCTTCATCATATTCCAAGGTCTTTTTTACATGAGAAGGCACTTATCAGTCACTGTATTTCAAAACAGATGATTCATTTCTAGCTGTGCAGGTAAACACGTACTGTCATCAAAAGATTTTTTTGTCTTCCTGCCATAGAACGGACCAGACACTACTCACCAAAGCATTGATTAGATCCTGTTACACTGCTAACCATTTCTGTCATGAAAGAGACTTAGCAGAGAAAAATACTGATCCTATTTTTGTATTTTTTTTCTTTTATGGAAATATTTTTTGTACTGATGATTGTGTCCTTAACGAGATTTACCTGGTCTTTACTTGATGTGTCATTACCCATCATGATAAAATGATATCACACCAGTCCTGTCTGATACCAGCCTCTGTACTGAGACAGTAGCTTTTAAGTCTTAATATTGTTTCAAAGTGATACTTTCTAAGTAACCATTGTGGTTAGCTTGTCTGATATTATATTCTTTCTGTATGAAAATATTGTTTGGTCACTCATACTCCGATATAAATCTAATATTTGTTTTGTTAACCATTTTTATATTTCTGTAATTTAAGAGTAATATTGAAGTATCTTCAATTTTCTGATTATATTGTCACATTATCATTATTAAAGAAAATATTTCTTGATATTAACTAATGTACTGTTTCCTCTTCATTCTATTTTGTTGTCACTTACAATTTATTTATTGTGAGGAATGTATGTCCTTCCATTTTCTGTTGTCCTGATGTATGTATTTATTCCATGTTTATTGCCATGACACAAGGATGCTGACTTTGAGGCTTGACAGTCTCTGTACTGAGCCCCACTATGTAAGCGGGAACAGCAATAAAGTAATGGCCAAGTACGTTCTGTCATTCCTTCGAGACCCTGAGACAGCCAGTTTTTCTGGGGTTGACTTCTTTGTCTTATCAGTCCAGGATATCAATTGATCGGGACTGTAAGTCCAGAATGTTCAATGTACCGGTAACTAGAAGTCATTGGTAGGGCTTGTGGGACAGGTCCCTAGGGACATATAACCGTGGGTAGGCCCCAATACATAGTACACAGGGGCATGACAAAGACACCACTTTCTTAACTAATACCTTTAGTAATTAATAATTAATGTTAATTGGATTATTTGCGTGTAGTTGTCTTTTGACTCTTGGCTAAAGACCAAGTAAATAATTGATTAGACAGGGGACGGTGGTATACAGTACAATAAGACAAGGGGAGTTTCATTGTCGTTTTTGGGATAGTTTTGGCCACAGTTAGCTTTGTATGGTCACTATGATGGTGATGCTCCCAGTGGAGTCATAACGCCAAGTCTGACTACCATTTCTGTAATATATACAATATCCAGAAAATTGTCAGATCAGGGACCATAAAAGCTGTATCACAAAGTAAGGGACACTATATCATAAAGCCACATGGTTTGGACCTTCAGAGGACAGCAGGCAGGAGTTGCTGGAGCGGGACACAGCCAAAAGTTGGTCCTATCACTGTAAACAGCAGGACCAAGGGCAGTGATCACTAGAGATATATGTGTTGGAAGGTATGATCACAGATCTGAAGTCATCAGGCATGGCACAGGCTCTGGCAACAGGGGATAGCTAAATGTACGTCAGGCACAGATACCATGGAGAGATAAACAAGAAACATCCACATAATCCAGTGGTACCGTCACAACTGAGATAGGTAGGAGGCTGTACGGCAGTGCCAGTCCTCCCCCCTACCACATATCCCTCCCCCAACGAAAAGTCCCCTCGTATGTTTGCTGTCAGAGAGGGGGCTGTTTAGAAGATAGGAGTGTGTCTGTGATGTGTGCACTGTGTTTGTGAGAAGTCCAGCTTTCCCCTCCATATCCCCCAAGCACTGTGCCCTGTGAGCGAGTTTTGCGGTGCTGTGTTTTGTCGACTCCACTTGTGCCTCCTCAGTCTAAATTTGGCATCACACAAGTGTTCCTCTTTTCTCCCAACACAGGAGTCAGTCCTTCAGAACCACACCGCCACTCAAGGAACATCACCGCCATCACAGTTCCGTCCTCCACCAACCCTCGGGACCCCAACGACCCTCACCACCCCCACCGCTGCCACCCGAACAGAGGGTGTCCCCCGAAGTCGACCTTTGACCTCTCCACCCTGGGGACAGTCACCTGGAATGGTGATTCCAATCAAGGCATGAAACCACTGGAGGTAAACAACTTTTATTTACTTTTTTGTTATTGTTTTGTCATTTTTCAACCACAAGAGGAAGTTATCAAAGTTTTGTTTCTGGGATCTGAAAGTTGAGGACTGTCATCTAGTTTGATGATTTTTAATTTCTATTCTCACTTTTTGAATTACAAAAATAGACACGTTGTTGCTTTAAATGGTGATGTTCTCAACATAGATTTAAAAAATTGTGATATTTTTGTGACTTTCAACAGGTCACAACATTGATACCCTGAGATTTTGTTTACATCTTTATTCAAACTTTTTTTTTTTACTGTAATTTGATATTCTCTTTAGCAAAACAGGATTTTAATCCTGAATTGAGTTTTTAAAATTTTCATGACAAAAAAAAAGTTTGTTGGACAGTTTTCAAAAGTTTAAAAAGTGTTCCTTTGTACCAAGTAAACGTGTTTAACATTGTACTCTCATTCATGTGTATTCTTTCTCAAAATTTTACGCGAAAAATTAAAGTCACAAATTTAAACAAAATTGTCAACAGATTGCGGACTGTCACATAAAATGGTGACATCAAAAGAATCCAAAAAACAATACAATTTATTTGTTTTCTGTGGTAATTTCTCACTCCTACATAACAACAACAGGAAGGTTTATTGATGTTGTTAATTATTGTGAGAAAAAAAATGATGTTGACATATTGACTATATTGACCTTGATGTGTCCCTGACCACCTCTTAGAGCTCGGCAGTCCGTCTTTCTGTCTGTCATCCGGAGGAAAATTAAGATGATTTTGTTGAGTAAAAACTTCATTGAATTCCTACTTTATTTGCCATGTGAATTTTATTTGAAGTCTGTAGAGACACTTGGTGTCCCCTGCTCTACACCACACATGCATTGATTTTACGCTGATATTTGTCATCTAAGACAGCCTGTGGAAGAAAATTTATATCCCATATTATGATTTCCATGCAGGGAGTTTTTTAGATTTTGAATTTGACTTTGAATACTTGGCTGTGTTTCTGGGGATTGACACGGTAGACACACTCAGCAATCAACTTCTCTCTACACCAGTGGAATGTCTATTTATAGCAACATGTGATCTTCTTCATTCACTAAGCACCAACGGTAGCATGCGCATCCTCATGAGGCCATCTTTAGGGGAAATTCTGAAATTTTGACAACTCATTTTTCTTATATTTGAAGACAAACTTCTTTATTCTTGTTTTCAGATTGTGAGAATTTTGTGCTGAATTGACTATCAATGTTAATAGTTGTGTTCCAAGAATCAGGTTTAAAATGATTAGGAAAATTTTTGTAGTTTACCAGTGGTGACATTTTAGTCTCCATCTTGGTTTTAATCGTTCTTCAGTCACCAAGCCTATAAATTTGAAACCATGCCAGTTACCAGTAGGTTTTGTGTATTTATGCGGAGCTTTCAACACCAAGACATTATTTGTTTTACTTGTAATCTGTAAAGTCAAGCACTTTGTGACCAAGACTGATACTGAAACAAATGAAAAACTTTTCTTTGTTGTTTTTAAGTATACTATTACTCAGGACATACACAGTGCGTTATTCAAATATTCATTTTGTTGTAAATGCTTGTTATCATTAACCTGATTTTTGGTAATTTTTAGTGAAACATCAAAATCATAAACAATTAAAAATTCAAGACTCTTATAATTGATTGGATTTTTAAACAAATAATCACATATTTCTTTGGTTATGTAGATATGAATCACTCACTTGGTGGGTTATACAGGGGTTAATGACTTAGTTCCTACGTTACTTAGCAATAAATAACTTATTTCTATTTTCTAACAGATTAATTAATTGCTTAGTGCTTTACACAAGGATTACTTATTTCTTATGTAACTTTGGGGTAACGGAAAACTCATTACTTTGGTTACATCAGTATTGATTACTCATTACTTTGGTAACATCAGTATTGATTACTCATTACTTTGGTTACATGGATATTGATTACTCATTACTTTGGTTACATCAGTATTGATTACTCATTATTTTGGTTACATGGATATTGATTACTCATTACTTTGGTTACATGGATATTGATTACTCATTACTTTGGTTACATGATATTGATTACTCATTACTGTATTGATTACTCATTACTTTGGTTACATCAGTATTGATTACTCATTACTTTGGTAACATCAGTATTGATTACTCATTACTTTGGTTACACGGATATTGATTACTCATTACTTTGGTAACATCAGTATTGATTACTCATTACTTTGGTTACATGGATATTGATTACTCATTACTTTGGTAACATCAGTATTGATTACTCATTACTTTGGTTACATGGATATTGATTACTCATTACTTTGGTTACATGGATATTGATTACTCATTACTTTGGTAACATGGATATTGATTACTCATTACTTTGGTTACATGGATATTGATTACTCATTACTTTGGTTACATGGATATTGATTACTCATTACTTTGGTAACATCAGTATTGATTACTCATTACTTTGGTTACATGGATATTGATTACTCATTACTTTGGTTACATCAGTATTAATTACTCATTACTTTGGTTACATGATATTGATTACTTTACTTTGGTTACATCAGTATTAATTACTTTGGTTACATGGATATTGATTACTCATTACTTTGGTAACATCAGTATTAATTACTCATTACTTTGGTTACATGATATTGATTATTTACTTTGGTTACATCAGTATTAATTACTCATTACTTTGGTTACATGGATATCTATTACTCATTACTTTGGTTACATCAGTATTGATTACTCATTACTTTGGTTACATCAGTATTAATTACTCATTACTTTGGTTACATGATATTGATTACTCATTACTTTGGTTACATCAGTATTAATTACTCATTACTTTGGTTACATCAGTATTAATTACTCATTACTTTGGTTACATGGATATTGATTACTCATTATTTTGGTTACATGGATATTAATTACTCATTACTTTGGTTACATGGATATTGATTACTCATTACTTTGGTTACATGATATTGATTACTCATTACTTTGGTTACATGGATATTAATTACTCATTACTTTGGTTACATGGATATTAATTACTCATTACTTTGGTTACATCAGTATTGATTACTCATTACTTTGGTTACACGGATATTAATTACTCATTACTTTGGTTACATGGATATTAATTACTCATTACTTTGGTTACATGATATTGATTACTCATTACTTTGGTTACATGATATTAATTACTCATTACTTTGGTTACATGATATTAATTACTCATTACTTTGGTTACATGGATATTAATTACTCATTACTTTGGTTACATGGATATTGATTACTCATTACTTTGGTAACATCAGTATTGATTACTCATTACTTTGGTTACATGGATATTGATTACTCATTACTTTGGTTACATCAGTATTAATTACTCATTACTTTGGTTACACGGATATTGATTACTCATTATTTTGGTTACATGGATATTGATTACTCATTACTTTGGTTACATGATATTAATTACTCATTACTTTGGTTACATGATATTAATTACTCATTACTTTGGTTACATGGATATTGATTACTCATTACTTTGGTTACATGGATATTGATTACATTTTGGTTACATGGATATTAATTACTCATTATTTTGGTTACATGGATATTAATTACTCATTACTTTGGTTACATGGATATTGATTACTCATTATTTTGGTTACATGGATATTAATTACTCATTACTTTGGTTACATGGATATTGATTACTCATTACTTTGGTTACATCAGTATTGATTACTCATTACTTTGGTTACATGGATATTAATTACTCATTACTTTGGTTACATGATATTGATTACTCATTACTTTGGTTACATGGATATTAATTACTCATTACTTTGGTTACATGGATATTAATTACTCATTACTTTGGTTACATGGATATTAATTACTCATTACTTTGGTTACATGATATTGATTACTCATTACTTTGGTTACATCAGTATTAATTACTCATTACTTTGGTTACATGGATATTGATTACTCATTACTTTGGTAACATCAGTATTAATTACTCATTACTTTGGTTACATGATATTGATTACTCATTTCTTTGGTTACATGGATATTGATTACTCATTACTTTGGTTACATGGATATTAATTACTCATTACTTTGGTTACATCAGTATTAATTACTCATTACTTTGGTTACATGATATTGATTACTCATTTCTTTGGTTACATGATATTGATTACTCATTTCTTTGGTTACATGGATATTAATTACTCATTACTTTGGTTACATGGATATTGATTACTCATTACTTTGGTTACATGGATATTAATTACTCATTACTTTGGTTACATGGATATTGATTACTCATTACTTTGGTTACATCAGTATTAATTACTCATTACTTTGGTTACATGGATATTGATTACTCATTACTTTGGTTACATGGATATTGATTACTCATTACTTTGGTTACATGGATTTTGGTTACATGGATATTGATTACTCATTACTTTGGTAACATCAGTATTGATTACTCATTACTTTGGTTACATGGATATTGATTACTCATTACTTTGGTTACATGGATATTGATTACTCATTACTTTGGATATTGATTACTCATTACTTTGGTTACATGATATTGATTACTCATTACTTTGGTTACATGGATATTAATTACTCATTACTTTGGTTACATGGATATTAATTACTCATTACTTTGGTTACATGGATATTGATTACTCATTACTTTGGTTACATCATATTGATTACTCATTACTTTGGTTACATGGATATTCATTACTCATTACTTTGGTTACATGGATATTAATTACTCATTACTTTGGTTACATCAGTATTGATTACTCATTACTTTGGTTACACGGATATTAATTACTCATTACTTTGGTTACATGGATATTAATTACTCATTACTTTGGTTACATGATATTGATTACTCATTACTTTGGTTACATGGATATTAATTACTCATTACT